GCTCATCGGGAGGCATTCCTCCCGATGGGCTGGACTGAGGCCCAGTTCATCGGGAGGCATTCCTCCCGATGAGCTGGATTTTAAACCAGCTCATCGGGAGGGTTTCCTCCCGATGAGCTGCTATGAGCAGTCTTCGGGCTGGGAGGAACCCCCTCCCAGCCTTTTTTTTTCTTCTTTTTGCTGGATTCCCCGCCGCCGTCCCATAGGAACCATGCCTGGGTCCTATGGGATGGCGGTATGTACTCGTAATGAAAAAGGTAGGGCGTTGATAAACGCACGCCAGCCCCCCTGGCGCACGCCAAACCACACGCCAGGTGCGGATTGGCGTGCACGCCTGCACGCCAATTTTCTTTGGCGTGCAGGCGTGCACGCCAATCCGCACCTGGCGTGTGGTTTGGCGTGCGCCAGGGGGGCTGGCGTGCGTTTATCAACGCCCCACCTTTTTCCTTAAGAGTCCATACTCTTATATTTTCTTGTTATCAGACAGGCAGCCCAATAAAGCACTCATCCCTCTCAAGCTCTATTCATCCCAAGAGTAGTTCCACAGCGTTCAAACTGACAATGGAGGAGAATTCTCCAGCGACGTACTCAGCTCTTTTCTTCTGAACAGGGGGATCAAAGCCGAAAGGGCTCTACCATACCATCACTTTCAGAATGGGATTATCAAAAGTTTCAACAGGACCTTAGCTGACATGGGAAAAACCATTCTCATCAACAGTGGCATGGGTAAACCTTTTTGGGGTTTTGCGTTTATATGGGCATGTGACGTACTGAATGTGGTACCAAACAAGAGAAGTGGACTAATACCACCTTTTGAAGCTTTTTATGGTTTTAGACCCACTCTAGACAGGTCCAGGATTTTTGGAGAAAAGGCGTTCATCCATGTCCCTGAGGAAAAGAGAAAGAAACTTGACAATCTTGGTCTGGAGGGCAGAGTTGTGGCGCACTGTGACAACAGCAAAGGCTGGATTTTCTTACTCAAGGAAACCAATCAACTGGTTGCAGCAGCAGTAGTGGAGTGAGCAGACAAACACCCCATGCCTTGCAAATCAAACATCGCCAAAACAACCCAACCACCTACTCCAGGCCCGCCCCAACCGGCAACATCACAGAAGAACTCAACTCATTGGGCGACACCATCTGAAACTATAGCAAGCTCACAGCAACATTATGTCGGTTACATCATCAATCAAATGGAACTGGGTGACTTCCAGGATGAACTGAGCTTTGAAAATCAAGAGTTGATCATTGACAGAATACTTCTGGAGTGTGCTTTTTATGCGGCAACGGTACCAAAAACGTTCAAACAGGCTCAGAAATCAGTAGCTTGCCCAACTGGCAGACTGCCATCAATGAAGAACTGAAAAACCTGCAAAAAATGAAAGTGTGGTCAGTTAAAACCTTCCCGGAAGGTCACACACCTCTGAAGGTTCAATGGGTGTTTGCCGAGAAGACAAACAAAGCTGTTGAAGTGATCCATTTCAAGGCTAGATACGTGGCAAAAGGTTTCACCCAAGTCATAGGTTTAGACTACAAATCTACTTTTGCCCCTACAGCAACTCCAGTCTCTATGAGACTCATACTAACCATGGCAGCTAAGTTTAACTGGCCAGTCTATTCTTTTGATTTTGTTGCAGCTTATCTAAATGCTCCCATAGATGAAGAGGTGTGGGTCGAGGCACCCGAAGGACTAAATTTCAATCCAGGTGAAGCAATGCTCTTGCACAAGGCACTCTACGGGACTAAACAGGCGGCAAGGTGCTGGTGGCTTCACCTCAAGAATGTCCTGGAGAAACTTGGTTTTGAGGCAAGTCAGTACAACAACAGTCTATACACAGTCAAACACCACAAAAAGAAGGGAGTAGTATGGGTGAATGTTGATGATGGAATAGTGACCGGCTCATCCACCAAACTGCTCAAATCTTTGGAAGACGGTTAAAAGGTATGCTAAAAATCAAATGGACTGATGGGTTAAATTCGATAATGGGGACTTGAGGTAAAAAGATCAAAGAAGGGTTTTAGTTTGCGACAACCAAATCTCATCAGCCAAATACTTAAATTACACTGGGGATGGCTGTACTAAATCACAAGACTCCTCTTCCTATTTCCCTTGAATTGATTACTGACACTTCAGGTGACAAGAACATCTCAACACAATTATCTTTTCATTTATAGGATCACTCAGCTATCTTGCCGTTGGGAGTCGACCCAGACATAGCTTTGCAGTAAACCTCCTGGCACGTTTTTCCGCCCAAATGGGGACCAACCACTGGAAGGGAGTCAAGCACCTCATCGTATACCTAGCGGATTCACACAACCTCTATCTCAATCTCTTCCCAGACAATCTTCCTAAACCACTGAAGTGTTTCTGTGACGCATCATGGGGCGGCAAGTTTGCGAAGTCCACATATGGAGTAGTGGTAACCTTTTTTGGATGCCCAGTGCTATGGACATCCAGACAATTTGCCACAATAGCAGCATTGACATGTCAAGTGGAATACATGGCCCTAGGAGTAGGAACTAGGCAAGTTCTCTGGGTACAACATTTGCTCACAGACATCCTCAACCACAGCTTTACTGGATTACTGCATTGTGATAACCAGGCTGCAATAAGAGTAAGTACGGATGACTCAGCCAGCAAAAGAGTCAGACACGTAGAAATAGAATACTACCTAACTAACCAGGCTCTACATGAGAAGAAAA